TATTAACAATGATGAAAAAAATCACAGTTAAGTATCAGATTCTCCAGAGGAAATGAGATTAAAAAGAAATTCTGGAAAATAGTTGTTTTTGGAGAAGGGAATAGCATAGGGAAGGGCGATATTAATAATTTAATGTTTCATCTTTGTTTTAAAAAAACGAATCTGAAGCAAATATGACTATTGAGATGCAACAAAGCTGGGTGGTTACACTGTTTACTAGTTTCCAGACTTTTCTGTTGTTTGAAACGTTTGAAATCAGCAAAAAATAGGAGTATTTACTGGGGTAGTTTAGACTAAACATGGGTGTGGTTAGAGTACAGTAATTACTGTGAAAAAAAGCAAGGTTCCTGGACATTTACAATTTTTTCTTTTTTTTGAAACATTGTCTCACCCTGTTGCCAAGGCTGGCGTGCAGTGGTGAGATCATAACTCACTGCAGCCTCAATCTTCCAGGCTGAAGTGATCCTTCTTTCTCAGCCTCCTGAGTAGCTGGGACTATAACCACATACCACCATTCTCAGCTAATCTTTTTAATTTTTAGTAGAAATGAGGTCCCACCATGTTGCCCAGGATGGTCTTCAACTCCTGAGCTCAGGCAATCCTCCCACATCGGCCTCCCAAAGTGCTGGAATTAGAGGCACGAGCCACTGCACCTGGCCCTGACATTGCGATTTTTAAAAATTTTGTTGAAAAACATAGACACGCCCCCCCCCCCACACACACACCCCTGCTTCAAAGAGGATTTTTAAAAACAATGGTGGCTGGGCTAGAAAAGATACTAATTTTCAACCTTTATTTCAAAGTTTATTTATTTATAAAGGAAATACAGAATAATTTTGATAAACAAAGCACCCAATTCCTACTTATGTTTTTTTCTTCGTGGAAAAAAAGTATGTGACACATACTTGTCATGCCCTGTATTAAGCTTACAAAAGATATTGACAAAAACTATACAAATCTAGATTTTAGAGTGCTAGGAAAGTTGCCATAAGGCACGTGTACCTACATTAATACTAAATAAATTCCACCTACATCCTTTCTTTCACCCTTTCCCAGTATTTTTCAGCTTTCCTCACAGTCCCAGAAGTCTAGGGGCAATGACTCTCCATCACTAGTGCTGTGATGGCACCTGTGCTCCCACATCCTGATATCCTATCCCTACGGTAATCCTTTGAGACGCACCTGAAAACACCAGTGACATAACTTAACGGATTCCTAGAAGGAACAGTACCTGGCATGCAGCCTCAGCTCCTACCGAGAGGGGAGGTTGAAAATTCTCCCAGTCTCCATTCACTCCTTTGCTTTGATACCCGTTAGGCCTGCTTTGCCTCCTTAATAGACTCCTGGAAAGGGAAGGGGTGGGGGTGGGGAGCGACCGGAGAACTCTTTTCCTAGGATGACTGGAGCCAGGAAGTCAGTCTGGGAACTTCCTCGCCCCCTGGCGGTGCACAGCACACAAGGCCGCCTGTGTTCCGCTCAGGGGTGGGACTCTCAATTTGCAGCCCAGGTGAAGGGAGATGAGTTGGGGAAATAGCGATTCTGTGCATTGGAACAGTCTGGGTGGTAACTGCAGGCCACTGCCTCTGACCTGTTGGCATCCGAGGTCTGATGACCTTCAGGTAAATGCTCTCATGATCAATGGACCAAAGGAGCAACGGTGCAGGTGAGGAACAGCACTCTACCAATGAAGGTCGTGACCAGGCCATGTTAATTTAGTGGTAAAAATAATAACATTAAAGAAAATGTTTACAACAGGAATAGAAAATGACAGAACCTTACTGCTTTAACTCAAGTGTATCACAATCTCTGCCTTCATCCACTTGAGACTTAAAACTCAGTGTCTGCTATTTTTATTTAACATTATCCCAAGCAATAGTAACATGAAAGTTATGACCAGGATGGAAGCAGGGTTGCACCTCTGCAGGGTCCTTGTCTGGGGACCACCCCTCCTACAAGCTTCTGGTTAATAGAGGTAAGGGGGCTCCTGTGGTGGGTGCCAGTGCTGGGACCTTAACTTATGTATATCTGGGCTATAGCCCTGGACTTGGCTAGGCTGGGCTGTGTGAAAATTCCAAGAATTCTGTTGGTAGAAAATGCCCACCCTATCCTTACAGGAACAGCACAAGGCTAGGCTGGTCTACCTCCCACCAGGACCTCGAAGGAACATGACCCAGGGGCTGAAGGATGGTGTTGAAGGACGAGTTTTACTCAGATCCTTCTCAGCCCTGCCTTCCCCAAGTTTCTGTATCCACTACACTGGAAGCTTTCTGAAAAAAATGCCTGAAACCTGTCCATTGTACCGCTAGGCCAGGGCCCAGCCAAAGAACTTAACAAATAACAGTCAAGGAAATCCTCACCTAAAATGGCTGCGATGCATTACTGCTCCCACCTCTGGCCTACAGTGTCACTTCTGCACTTGAAACCGCCAGGGGGCAGTCTGGGTTCACTACGAGACATTTCCTTCTAGAGAAAATCACACCTGCAAAGACCCTCTCCAGAGCCACAGCCCACCTCCACACCCTCCACGCCACCATCCATTCCCTGTGAATATGCTTTGGGCTGAAAATGGTTGGGAGGAGGGCGATGGAAGTCATCTGCATTATTTTGGCATTGACCAGGGCCTCTTGAGTCCTTCAAATTCAACAATTTACCACAGGCCCGAGTGCAGTGGCTCACGCCTCTAATCCCAGCACTTTGGGAGGCCAAGGCAAGCAATCATCTGAGGTCATGAGTTCAAGACCAGCCTGACCAATATAGTGAAACCCCCATCTCTACTAAAAATACATAAATTAGATGGACGTGGTGGTGCGTGCCTGTAATTCCAGTTACTCAGGAGGCTGATGGATGAGAATCACTTGAACCCAGGAGGCAGAGGCTGCAGTGAGCCAAGACTGTGCCACTGCACTGTCAGCCTAAGTGACAGAGTGAGACTCTGTCTCAAAAACAAAAACATAAAAAAAAAAACCTCACTGACCTAGAGAACAATATGTGTTTAATAATATTTAAATAATGGTTGTATGAAATTGAAGCAGCAAGAAACCCAAAGGAGAATAGCTCTAGGGGAGGGATGTGGATAAGTATGCATGGGGGAGAGGCTATTCTATGACCAGGTTGGGTCTGGAGCCCTCCCCACTGTCCAGAACGCCTCCAAGCCCCTACATTTTTCCATATACCAACGCCTTGGAGATATAATGCAGAAATAAAGTGAGCAGGCTGAGGATTAGGGCAGGTGTCTGGAATATGTTCAGGAGTGGGAGGGGAGTGACATAGCTCATAGGCTAAGCAGAGTAGCACAAAGGCTAGAGGTTTTATTCCCAGCCCTCAACTTAAAAGACCTCAGGGGCAGATACTGACTCCAGACTGGCTGTGCCCTTACCCTAAGGCCATTCACACTTTTTTTTTTTTTTTAAACACAGGTAATCCATGTTTATTATAGAAAAATGCCACATTACTCTTTATTGGATGTGAGCGCCAGCACCAGCCCCTTTCTCTCCAAGCACAGGGGCACGCAGGCAAGGGGCTCCGTCCCCCGGCCGGGATGCAGTGGAAGCCTGGCTCCACTACCATTCTCCTACAGCCAGCACCCTCCGCGGTGCCTGGGGCTCAGGTCTGTTCAAACTCCTGCTCACAGTAGCCTACATGGAGGGGTTGGGCCTGGACACCTCGCCTGCAGGAGGACATGAAGAAATGGCAAGATAAGCCCCTAAGAAGGGGCCCCAGCAACACTTTTCACACCCGTCAACAGTCTCTCCTTCCCCATTTCGGTGACTCTCAAACTGTCACTGTACACCAGGTGTACCTGGGGATCTCAATTCCACAGATTCTCACTTGGGGTGGGGCAAAGTATGGGCAAGAATCTGCAAGCTGAACTGGTGCCTCATGTGATTTTGATACAGGTCTTGGAGATCCAGAAATGTTGGCAACGTCTATTTCTATCCTGCCTATCTCGTACCCTAACCCCAAATAACTCAATCCCTTTGGAAAATAGGTAGATGTCTGAAAGGCAGCCAATGCTCCTGGCCTACTTAGCCCTCTGTTCCTGATTCTAAAACACTGTAAATGTGGTAGCATTGGGGGACTTAGGTGCTGTCCTGTCCACGAATATGGACGTGAAATCCTGTCCTTGGGTCTCAGACTATAACCTGACCAATCTCCTTAGGGGACATCTAGGTATGCTTCCCTTATTATCCAAGTAAGCAACATGCTTAGAGAACCAGCTGGAAGTCACCCAGTGAATGACATAGTTAAGGCTTAGATGTTACCATGCTTGACTTAGATGTTACCATGCTTGACTCTCAGCCCAGGACTCTGCTCTGCATTAGGCTATGTCCCCCAAGTTCTCAAGACCTAGCCAACGAAGGAATCAGGGAAATGACTATCTTACACAGGCACATCCCTGACAGAGGCAAAGGTGTCATGAGATCCTGTAAGTCAGCCTGGTTCAAATCCTGCTTCTTAGTGACTTTGGGCAAGGTACTGAACTTCTGTGCTTCAGTGTCTATCTCTAAACTGGGGACAAAAATGCACCTATCTTATGGGGTTGTGGTGAAGACTAAATGAGACAACATGTGTAACAAACTTAGCACAGTGTTTGCCACAAAATACAGTTGTCCCTCAGTATCCACAGGGGATTTGTTTCAGGACCCCCGTGGATACCAAAATCCAAGGATGCTCAAGTCCCTTATATAAAAATGACATAGTATTTGCATATATCCAATGTACAACTTCCCATATACTTGAAATGATCTTGGATTACATATGCCTAATACATATAAATGCTATGTAAATAGTTGTTATACAGTATTTTTTATGTATTTTTTTGTTGTTGTATTTTTTTTCCTGAATACTTTTTATCGCAGTTGGTGGAATCCATGGATGAGGGCCGACTATAAGCCTCTGTAAGTGTTAGCTATTGTTATTATTCTCTTCCTCTCTCTAAGGGGTTCCCCAGCCCTGGATCTGCCCTACCCTGCCTTGCGAAGGCCCCACAGCTTGCTTACCTCAGCAACTCACAGCGGAAGTGTGACAAACGTTCATAGGCAAATGTCAGGTCAGATGTCAACTTGTTGCTCCACAGCCTTTCGGCAACAGCCCCTGCTCTGGGCCTGGAGGAAAGGGGGCATGTGCCAGATTGGGCTCTGTATTCCCTGCAAAGGTGCTGGACATCCATAGGCTGCTACCTCTTGTCTAAGTGCCCTGGACTAGCTCAGGCCAAAGGAAGTGATCAATACCTTGTTATGAGCTATAGTCAGGTTAGATGGCTCCCAGAAAGTTCTAGGGCTCAGCTACACCTTCATTAAAATGTCGGTAGCAATCCCACTCTCTTCCTCTCTCAAAGATACGGGAATAAGAATAAACCTTAAAGGCATCATTAACCACAATGACAGTGACAGCAGCAGATGTCCTTAAAATGTAAACTCTGCACAACCAACCACACTTGGTAAGGCTGCAGTGAAAAGAGCAGAGGGAAGCCTTATTACAGGAATCATGGATGCTTGTGCTGGATCCTAAGCAAGTCACCGATGTTCTCCAGGCCTCATTATCTCTCTAGGAAGTGAGGTTAACAATCCCTATCCCACACACCTAATGGGTGGCTGGAGGGATATAGATGGAAGTCATGTGGAGAGTGAATATTGCACACAAATCTTCAGAAGGCTCGTTGTACGGCCTGCTCTCTCTCAGGCCTGAAAGGAGGGTACTAGTTTAGAGGTGGCTAGATGGGATTGGGTCTGTAAGGGAGAACCCCTGCTCTCAGGTCCAACCCTCCACCTTCCCCCGAAAACCCTTACCAGAGCCTGGGGACCAGGTTTGTGTTGTCCACATATTCTCCCCACATACAAGCCTCTCCACCAATCACGAGAGCCTTCTGCTCAGGGGTACCTGAGGGAAAACAAGCAACAACAGTCTGGTGATGGTGGGTAACTCTAGGGTCCCTCTCAACCACCTTCACAATGTGGCCCTCACCCCAGCTAAGTTGTTTAATTTACTAATCGGAAATGTCTGGCCCAGACCTTCCTGCCTCCCATCCTGTGCCCCAGCCCAGCCTCCTCTGGTCAGCAAGGAGAGCTCTCTGCTTTCACCTTCAAATGCCAGGGGTTCCACTATGTAGAAATCCTTCCAGTCAGGGCCGTAGGATATACGGTTCAGGTACCAGGGGGCGGAGAGAAGGGCCCGGAAGCCGGCCTTGGTGACCAGTTCCAGCTCCTTCATATAGTTCACTGGAATCTCTTCTCGCCACACCTGTATGATTGTGTCTGGTCGAATCTGTTATAAAAGGTCAAATGGCAGTAAGGACACAAAGCTGAGGAGATTCCTGGGCCTTATTCATACACAGGCAACGTGGGACAACAGGTGTGTGCTCCCTCTGTTCCCCAGCAGCAAAGTATGTCTCTGTGACTCCTGACCATTGAGCTCACACCTCAGGACAGAGGCCAAGGAACCCAGGGCCCCAAAAGGCCTCCCTGCAGCTCCCCTCTCTGTCCCTCTGCAACCTCCCTGTCCACACAGTAATACCAGCTGTGAGCTGAGGGCGGCAAGCAGGGGGACCCCGGAGCTGCCATGTCCAAAAGTCTCCAGATGATTCTGGGAATGGGACAAGGCTCCTGAAGAGTCCTTGCATGTGACAGGAGTGGGATCTTACTGATCAACGATAAAGGAGAAGGTAGCCTTGGTCCCACAGACCCAGAAGACCCTAATCTATGATTTAGGAAGAAAAATCCAGCCTATCCAAGTAACCTAGCAGCAGAAATAGGTTTTTTTTTTGGGATGGAGTCTTGCTCTGTCACCCAAGCTGGAGTGCAATGGCACGATCTCTGCTCACTGCAAGCTCTGCCTCCTGGGTTCACGCCATTCTCCTGCCTCAGCCTCCCGAGTAGCCGGGACTACAGGCGCCCGCCACCACGCCCGGCTAATTTTTTGTATTTTTTTTAGTAGAGACAGGGTTTCACCATGTTAGCCAGGATGGTCTCGATCTCCTGACCTCGTGATCCGCCCACCTCGGCCTCCCAAAGTGGTGGGATTATAGGCGTGAGCCACCGCACCCGGCCCAGAAATAGTTCTTAATCAGGTTTGTAGTGAGGGAAGATAGAAACTCTGACACATAAACCCAGGGCTCATACCACAGCGGCCTTTGGTTTTTTTGAGACAGGGTCTCACTCTGTTGCCCAGGAGTGGAGTGCAGTGGCACATCTGGGCTCACAGCAACCTGTGCCTCCTGGGCTCAAGCAGTACCCCCACCTCAGCCTCCTGATTTTTGTATTTTTTGTAGAGACGAGGGTTTCGTTATGTCGGCCAGGCTGGTCTTGAACTCCTAGGCTCAAGCAATCCACCTGCCTTGGCCTACCAAAGTGCTTGGATTACAGGCGTGAGCCACTGCACCCAGCACTCTGTGGCCTTTCTAGAGAGAAAAGGAGAGTGCTCTGACCATTAAAGCCCAATCCAAACCAGGAGGTTCAGTCTTTGTAGAGGCAGGGAGGAGCTGGGGAGACCAGAGGGAGGCACCGCTGGTGGCTTCTTCTCTTCTCTGCCCCGGCTCACCTTTACTTTATTATCAAACACCTCCTGCCACACCACATAGCCCTTGCCATAAGAAGAGACGATGTCCAGCAGCCTGGAGAGGAGAGGAGTGTCTCGTAAGTGTCTGCTTAGCTCAGACGGGCTCTAGACTGTTTGTGCCAGTGCTCTAGGGGTTGAGCCTGGCCAGGGGCCTATTCCTCATTAAGCAGTGTCTTTCCCCAGGGTGGGAAACTGACCACTCCAAACCTGAAAGGATGGGAAAAAGGACAAGGGAACCCTGCAGGGGCCAGACAGTGGCCAAGCAGGGCCTGACTCCGGTATGGAAAGGGAGGACCCCACAGGAGGACCCCCAAGGGACCCCACCCGCCCTCCTTCCCTTCTCACGTCTGGATGTAGAAGGACTCCAACTGCTTGAAGTCCTCACCGAAGCCTTTCTTCCTCATAAAGTCTTGGATATCTGGGTTGGACTTCCTGAATCCCAAGAGAAAATGAAGATTAATATTTCAACATCCTGAAAGCCTAATGCCTGGGGATTAGTCACCTGGCCCCCTATAACTTCCTTTTTTCACCTGAAAAATCAAATAAGCAAGGATCTCAGAAGCCCTACATGTAGAAAGTGTGGCCAAGCAAAGTTATGTGAAGCAGGTGAGCTGTTGACACAGGCTGAGAAAGGCTGAGTCTGGACCTGAAGAGTTTTAAGTTCAAACTCCCAAAAAGAAAACATGTTAATCCTCTCCGGACTGCAACATGAGGATCCAAGGTCTTAACTTAAGAGCTCTAGCACACTGGATTCCGGCTTTCTCATCTGCTCTTCCAATTGGATGACAAGTCTTGCTGTCTATTACCTGCTGCAGATCCCTTGCATTACAATGTCCACATTTTGCTCACATTGTTCTCCTTCTGGAATATTCTCCCTTGCTCACATCTCCAAAAAGCCAAATCATTTCCCCAGATTCAGCTCTGGCGCCCCCTTCTCAAAGAAGCCCCTCAGCCTCTTTTGAGCTCACCAGAACCAAGGGTTTGGACTTTACAACTGAATACTAATTAGACACTGTCATCTATTAGTCTTGAATTCTGTGTCTTGACTCTTCAACCAGACAATTTTAAGCCTTCATAAACAGGGATTATTTTTCTCTATCCTGAACTTTTCTAACACAATTCTGTGTCCAGGGCTGGTTTTTCTATCAATACCTCAAGGATATAAGAGTAGGAAGGAAGAGGTTCACAGTGAACGCCTTGCCCAAATCAGGTAGGATCTCTACGTAGATGGGCAGAGGAAGGCCTAAGACCTGAGCAATGTGAGTCCATATAGACCACTGAGAGCAGCAGCTGAGCTAAGTGGCCCCTCGGGGGCTAACCTCTATTCTGAGTAAGCAACTGATCAGGCCACAAAGGGAAGATCAAAGGGCTCATACCAGCAGGTGAAATCAACCTCATCTCCTCCAAGATGAAGATAAAAATCTGGGAAGACAGAGCTGATCTCCAAGAAGAATGTGCTCATGAACTCATAGGTATTGTTGAGACTGGGATTCACTGGTCCAAAGGTGCCAGAGGGCTCAGACCCAGAGTAGCAAGGAGTCAGTAATCCAGGGATACCTAAGCCAACAGAAAACCCCATACGAGTGTCACAAATACATAAACCCCCAAGCACAGTCCTACACGTAAGGACACAAGTCACACAAAGTAAGACAAGTGTATTCATAAACATCACACACATTTAGGTAGGCACACTCAGGCACTCACAGACACTGGTAGTCACCACCATTTAGTCGCAGTAAAAAGATACAAATATATCCACAATCATAGACAGGCAGAGGCTGAGTTTCAGCCAGACAACTGTCAGTGCACACACTCTTGCCTTGACACACTGCTTCTAGCAGGCACCACCCTTGCTCCCAAGGCTGCTCTCCTCACAGGCCTTTAGGCTGAGGGAGAGTCTAATCCAGCCAAACTGGCAAAATCTTTCTTCTCTATCTCCTCCTGCAGGTGGGGTCAACCATCACCCAGAATCTTTTTACATTTCCTAAGGAGTATCTCCCTTGGCCCAGAGACTACTTCCTGCTGCTGAGGTCACAAGATGTCTTCAGGGTTTTGTTGTTGTTGTTTGTTTGTTTTTGAGACAGAGTCTTGCTCTGTCACCCAGGCTGAAGTGCAGTGGCACGATCTTGGCTCACCGCAACCTCTGCCTCCTGGGTTCAAGCGATTCTCCTGCCTCAGCCTCCTGAGTAGCTGGGATTACAGGCGCCTGCCCCCACAACTGGCTAGTTTTTGTAATTTTAGTAGAGATGGAGTTTCACCATGTTGGCCAGGCTGGTTTTGAACTCCTCACCTCAGGCGATCCACTCGCCTTGGCCTCCCAAAGTGATAGGATTACAGGCGTGAGCTACCACGCCTGGCCAGTATCTTCAGTTTTCTATCAGGCCAGTAGCCCTTTTCAACCGTCATTTAACCTGCGTTGGGGACTCACACTGGAGGGCGGAGGGTATACAGAAGAAAGGGAGCAGGGGTAGTAACTGACTCTGACCTCTGCAGGCTGCCCTTGGGCTTCTTTCTTTCAGATTCTACCCTGGTGGTCAGATTCCTCAGCATCCACTCGAGGCAAAACTACCTGCAATGGCATCTGAGAAAAATGTGCCCTTACATAGTCTAACAGTACATATTTTAATAGTAAGAAGTGGCTTCCACTGCCCAAAGTGAGTTCTTCCTATCTAAATTCCCAGGTGGAAGAAGTCGATGGAAAACATTCTTCCAAGGACCAAGGCTGGAATATGCCACTTCCATGAGCCATTGCCCTGAAGCTTCACTCTGAGCATAATGAGCAGAGTCCCTCTGGCCGCAGACATCATTCTTACCTGGTCCCCAAGACAAAGTGTGGCCAGGAGTGTCAAACTCTGCAAGCACACGGATACCCCGGAGCCGTGCGTATTCAATGACCTCCTTCACATCCTGTGCTGTGTAAATGTGGGTGACAGGGTTGTAGGACCCCTGAAAGGCACAAGACACCCTTCAGGTTCACATTTCCTGAAAGCTAGCAGAGTAGAAGTTACTCAAAATGCCCACAAGACTCCCCAGACATCAGAAAACCTGCCCATAGCCTTTTGGTATCAGGGACTATCTTCAAAAAACTTGATCATAATTTCCTAGAAGTTATCACATCTATTTTATCTGAGTATCATAATGCCAGTGAGATAATCATGGTAGGTATTAATATTATGTCCATTTAACAGAATATAAATAAATAGAAAGGGAATAAGGCCAGAAGAGATTCTCTCCTGAAGGTCACAAGGAAAATTATTGGCAAAGTTTTGGACTTGAACTCAAGTCTTCTGACTCCAAATCCAGTGTCCTTCCCCTATATTGGTCTAAAACCGACTGGTTAGGATGAGAGACCCTGTTCTTGCCAGGAGGGCCACAGCCAGATTCAGACACTGACCCATAAACTTGGTCTGAGTGAAATGGGGACATACCTTTCTCATGAGCTCTGGAAAAGTGAAGCTCTCATATGGGAAGGAAGGATCATCTACCAGATGCCAGTGGAACACGTTCAATTTATTGTACGCCATGACATCCTGTAGGTTAAAGTGCACACTGTGAACCCATCACAGTCTCTCCCGTTTCAGCCTCAAACTTGCAATGTTGGGCAGGCTCTCAGGCCGCTCCACATACCCCTACAGGCTTGACCTGCCTCAGCTCTCAATTAAGTGTCTATGGGGTCTCTCTATCAAACCTTCCCATCAGGGAGGGATGGCATGGAGGGAAGGCCCCGCACACTTCTACTCTTCCCAGAACACATCCAAAGATGGATGATAGAAGTGGTCTTTCCTCTTTTTGAAATAAATTCTGGCCACATTAAGAGGAGGGCTGCAGCTACTGTGGTACCCTGGAATCTTCCAAAAGCCTGAAGAGCAACACTTCCTCTTGCCATTTGTGTTGTCTGACTGATGTTAATCCCAACTGTGAGACCTCCTGGGAACTTAGTAGTCTCTTAACTCATAATCTCAGAGGCCAAGGCTGGCAGATGTGTTGCCTCCTTTGGTTCCGTCAAAGAAGCAAAGGAAAAGGCAGACATAGGAACTGGATCGGGAACTGTCAGATAAGACTGCACATTAAAACTCAAGAGAGTTAGGAACCTCCTAGGTAAGGCTTTTTTTTTTTTTTTTTTGAGACATAGTCTTGCTCTGTCACCCAGACTGGAGTGCAGTGACACAATCTCAGCTCACTGTAACCTCCACCTCCCAGGTTCAAGGGCTTCTCGTGCCTCAGCCTCCTTCCTTCCTTCATTCATTTTATTATTTATTTTTGGGACAGGGTCTCTGTTGTCCAGGCTGGACGGCAGTGGTGCAATCACAGTTCATGTATCCTTGATCTCCCCAGGCTCAGGTGACCCTCCCACTGCAGCCTCCTGAGTAGTTGGGACTACAGGTTTGCGCCATCATGCCTGGCTAATTTTTTGTATTTTCAGTAGAGATGGGGTTTCACCGTGTTGGTCACGCCAGTCTCGAACTCCTGAGCTCAGGCAATCTACCCGCCTTGGCCTCCCAGAGTGCTAAGATTACAGGTGTGAGCCACTGCACCTGGCCCAGAGGTAAGGCTTTGAACATCTCTCTCCTATGACCTTCTCCTAACTAAAGTTAGCTCTGCTGGCCAGGTGTGGTAACTCATGCCTGTAATCCTACCACTCTGGGAGGCCAAGGTGGGCAGATTGCTTGAGCCCAGGAGTTCAAGACCAGCCTGGGCAACACGATGAAACCCCAGCTCTACAAAAAAAAAAAAAAAAAAAAAAAAAAAATTGAGACCCTTTCTCAAAAACAAATAAATAAAGTTAGTTCTGCCAATGAAGCCAATTCCCCTAAACATTTGTATCCCTAGAAACAGCCTGAGCATTGATCTACGGTAGCCTGTAAGGTAGATTTAAGTCACTCTTTATTTTTTGAGTCTTGGAGCAGCTCATCTTCTACATTTTTCCCAGGAGCTCATAGAGTTACACACATTCTCTCTTTTTTTTTTTTTGAGACGGTGTCTCACTCTTTCACCCAGGCTGGAGTGCAGTGGCGTGATCTCCAACCACTGCAACCTCTACCTCTCGGGTTCAAGCGATTCTCCTGCCTCAGTCTCTCAGGTAGCTGGGATTACAAGCATGCGCCACCATGTCCAGCTAATTTTTGTATTTTTAGTAGAGACGGAGTTTCACCATGTTGGCCAGGCCGGCCTCGAACTTCTGACCTCAGGTGATCCGCCCACCTCGGCCTGCCAAAGTGTTGGGATTACAGGCGTGAGCCACCACGCCCAGTCCATACATTCTCTCTCTAACTCTTTAAGAATTTGGAACTTGGTCTGTCCGTTGCTCCATCACCCCAGAACTCTTAAGTGTGAAGAAGGCCTTCAGGCCTGGGTACCAGTGTGTCCAGGATGCTAGAGAGTGGTAGGTAATGGCGAGATGTATCCAACAGCAAGCCCCGGTGAGGAAAGCGGGGAAAGTCCTCGATCTCAGTCTTGTTGATAAAGAACTGTGCAGAACAAACATTGAACATGTCAGATTCAAAGGAAGCTTACTACAGGGGCACAGGGAGATGAAGATACCTCTCCCAGGATTCTTAAAAAGCCAATCTTTGACTGTTCTCAGGGTCACTGTCTCCCCAAATGCCACCCACCTCTATAAATGACCATGAGCAGCCACCTTCCCATAGAGCAATTGTCCAACGCCGGCCTAAAACAACTGTCCCATACACCACTCAGCCTAAAAATTCTGGACTTTCCTGTTAACACAGTTTATTTTCTTCAAAGCAGTGTGGCCCCAAGGTCTAAATGATGACTAAATGACTAAATGATGACTCAAGGGAACCAAATTACAGTGATTCCAAACAGACCAAATCTACCAAACCAGTTTTCCACCCACATCTCCTCTTCCATTTCTACTGGGGCTATCTCAAGTCACCAGGATCCTAAGGCAAAACAAGATTTTTCTAGGATTCTCAACATTGGGATCAAACCCCGGAGATGAAAAAGGAGCCCTTTTTGAGGGTCCACACTTACTGTGCCCTCAGCAGATTTCCAAACAAGCTGGCTAAAAGTCTCCAGACCTAGGAAGAAGTAGAGAGGCAGAGTAAAGACTCAGGGAGTGGAGAAAGAGGTGTATCTATTTGGAAGGTTCTCAATGTAGCAGAGTGTAACGTTTGGGTACACAGTGAAAATGGATGTAGTGTAGGCTTGACAATTTTTAACACCGATGAAAAGGGGATATTAGGAAGCCAGTATCCATCTTTACTCTGTATTTCATTTTGGGAGATGTCAGAGTAAGGGTTTTAGTGCCCCTTCTTACAACACACTAACTTTCTTTTTTTTTTTTTTTTTTTTTGAGACGGAGTCTCGCTCTGTCGCCCAGGCTGGAGTGCAGTGGCGCGATCTCGGCTCACTGCAAGCTCCGCCTCCCGGGTTCACGCCATTCTCCTGCCTCAGCCTCCTGAGTAGCTGGGACTACAGGCGCCCACCACCGCGCCTGGCTAAGTTTTTGTATTTTTAGTAGAGACGGGGTTTCACCGTGGTCTCGATCTCCTGACCTTGTGATCCGCCCGCCTCGGCCTCCCAAAGTGCTGGGATTACAGGCGTGAGCCACCGCGCCCGGCTCACACTAACTTTCAAAACCCACATACCTCTCATCTATATTTCCTGTGCCTTGACAAGAATATTGAGAAGAGAGGCCAAGACATATACTCATAAGGACAGACACAGGGACAAGACAGCCTGTAAGGCTTTCCATAGTTAACCCCCATCAGGAGCTGACAGAGCTGAGAAAAGGGGTCCCAGAATAAATTGTGAGAAAGTGATCATAAGCTTGGGTTTCCAAGGAGCCTGGGTTCATGGCTGGACCTAGAAAATAAAAAAAAAAATCATCCACTCTTCCTCTTCAGAGACTGAGAAGAGACCCAGCTATAGGGAGCTGAGGTGTAGTGGACAGCAACTGCCTCAGAAGGACTCCCCTAGTCCACTGACACTGTCTCCTAGAGTCTAGAAAGGCCCACACACAGGTATGTTGAATCCAGAGCATTGTATGTTCTCAACAGCTGGGGACCCTCTTCTGGAAATACTGTAGAAACCCCATGAAAAATTATCAGAGTCCCCAATTTCAAAGTGAAAGAATCCATGAGACTTCAGCAGTCACTCAGCACCTAGTTTGAGCAGACTGCTAGTGTACTGTTTTGGCTTCTCCCCACTCTGACTCTGACACCCAGCATTCTGGAGTCCGAGGTCCTCCCTTACCATCGGCACCTGCACCAAAGTTACAAGAGGGCAGGAAGGGGAGGCAGCATGCTGTTGTTCCAAGCATAGAAGTGGGGAAAGGGAAGGAAGACAAACCAAAGCAAGGTGTGGAATTCCAAGAGAATTTCCCTCATCATTCACCAGCAGAGGGTTTACCAAAAGTGGAAGAGGTACTTGGCTAAGTCTGTATCTAAGCACCAAATACCTTCTCAGTAAACCCAGAGGAAGGGCAAGGGCTGACAGTTTAGCCAGTAAACTCATTTTCTCCAGAAATAATGTAGTTCTAAATATTTCACTACTATTTATCTTTTCTCTTGCATGTATCTATTTCTTTTGTTATAGTTTTCCTTTTAAAAAATACCTTTCCAATTACATGTCTTTAGCAAGAGCTGGACGGGCAATGTCTGTGGTAGCATCATTCCCCCTGTCCCCCAGCTACCTGTCCCCTGCTGGCACCTAGAGCATCAGCCTGCAGACTCTCACACTGCTTCCCAGAGCCCCTGACTAGGGCAGCAGCAGCAGCTGCTGATGCTGCACAGGGTAAAACCTGTCAACCTCCAGGGACAGCTCCACAGAGATGGGAAAACACGCCAACTGTTCCCATAAAGAAAGCTTCCTGGCTGGGCGAGGTGGCACACACCTGTAATCCCAGAACTTTGGGAGGCCGAGATGGGTGGATCACTTGAACTCAGGAGTTCAAAACTGGCCTGGGTAATATGGTGAAATCCCATCTCTACTAAAAATATAAGAATTAGCTGGGCGTGGTGGCAGGCACTTATAATCCCACTACTTGGGAGGCTAAAGAGGGAAGATTGCTTAAGCCTAGGAGGCAGAGGTTGCAGTGAGCAGGGACTGGGCTACTGAACTCCACCAACACCAACCTTCCCACATCATCCTTTCTCTCTCTCTTTTAATTTGTTACCTCGGAGAGCTCCCCAGACAGTCTCAGAGAGGAGTAAACACTGGTCATCATTTATGGTCAGGGTATCTGAAATGACAGAAATGAACTCATTTAGTTGGTTAAGGTTTTCTATTCTCAGATTATAGACCAGATATTCTATAAATCATTGGATTAAAAAAAAAACAAAAACAGTAAGACCATATATTTTAAAAAATCTTTCAATGAGGAGATGTCCCCAGAGCAAGATAGCTATAGGATGGGCTGGTCTGGGGCCAGAGCGGGAGGGTGGTCACCACAGTGATTCTGTAGACCCTGCATGATGACGTACAGCAAGAGTCAGGCTGGAGCGGAGTTCTGTGCAAAGCACCACCTACCTCATGGGTCAGTTTCCACAGGAGAAAGATGAAGGAAGTCTTCTCCTGGCAAAGGGAACAGGGATGCCTGCAGGGGGGAGTGCAGCATGCAATGCTCCCAATGCCTTTGTAATCACCCTCCTTTCCCTTTCCTCTGTGCTTCAGCTACTTCCTCCAAGAATGTGAGGAAGAAGCCAAAACTCAGATGTTCACTTTGGAGACTGAGAAGTCCCCAAATGCTGCTCAGGGAAGACAGGAGGCGGTCACTGGACTAATGACTTAACTTCATCTCAGTATAAGTGACCAGAACCCCTTGTTTCCCCAATGAACGGTCTATTAGAGAAAACTAGCAAAGTATACACTTTCCTAAAATAGAAATGTATTCTGTCCAGCAGGTAGGTGTCCTGTGGGACTCAGTGAAGAGCCAGTGCGATGTTCCACAGCCAACCTTTAGCACTGGTTCAGTTTCTGCATAGGAAAAACTCATCTTCCATGGCTCTCAGCACTTGGTGACCCTCGGTCCCCATGGTCAAGGGAGACTCCAGGCCGAGCATCAGCAGTTTAGGCCAGGCCATCCAGAGTTACAGCTTCAGACAAGTGCTTGCTCTTCTAAGACAGGGAACAGGATGATACTTACAATTCTCTACCGACTCCAAAGTAGGAAGCTGGTTACATCCAGGTGTGACTACAGAGACAACCAACACATTCTTCTCAGGTGTATGCCGTTTTCCTGGGAAGACAGGGTAAGCTTGGTGTGGCCAACCTGCCATTAGAAGCAACAAGCAAAACCAAGGCCCTAGCTCTAGTACCCCAGCTCATACGCCTGTGGTAAAGGGAGGACATGGCATTTACCCTTGGTGTAGGTACTGCCTGATCATCTGTTCAGCTGTTTCATTCTGGTTGTGCCCCTCTTCTCCTCAGTAGCCACCCTGACCCATGTCTGAATGCTCTGGGTGACAGCTCTTCTTAACCAGGGCTCTATATTTCTGGCTGCCCTTGGCCTGTACCAAACAAACAATTCCATGACCTCAACAACTGCTTCCGACTGAGAGGCAGCTCTAGAGCATGCTACTCTCAGTGTGGTCTACAGATTAGCTGCCAATTTGCAAACTGTGTTACTGGTTGGTCACTATATAGAAAACTTACATGAAGCCTGAATGTAAATCAATTATGTCAGAGTGAACACACTGTCTAGTTCTAACATTTTTTCATACAAGATTTTCCATTTCGCTCTGTTGCCCAGGCTGGAGTGCAGTGGCCGGATCTCAGTTTACTACAAGCTCCGCCTCCCGGGTTTACGCCATTCTCCTGCCTCAACCTCCCGAGTAGCTGGACTACAGGCGCCCGCCACCTCGCCCAGCTAGTTTTTTGTATTTTTTAGTAGAGACGGGGTTTCACCGTGTTAGCCAGGATGGTCTCGATCTCCTGACCTTGTGATCCGCCCGTCTCCGCCTCCCAAAGTGCTGGAATTACAGGCTTGAGCCACTGCGCCCAGCCAAGATTTTCTCGAAGAAGAGATCAGTTTTACACTCTGGTACATATGCTTCTTATCTCATTGCAGATTGGCATATTAAGTAGTACTGCTCTTGAGGACTCCAGATGAAGGGTTTCCAGTTTTGCAAAAGCCTAGGAGCTAATGGAGTAGATGACAGAAGGATCTCACATGCAGAGGAGGCCTGAAATGATGCAACTGATACCTCAGAGAAGGTCAGGGTCACCAGTCCATCTTGCTTCCTTCCTTCCTCTTCCCAAACAGGTTCTCTGTCCAAGGTAGATTTTGCCCTAACAGTGAACGGTCATCCAGTATGAGCCAACGTAGTACCAAATATAGCTTTAGAGACCCTTGCCTATGCAGAAAAAATGCCAAGCCAAATATGAATACACTGTCTCTTCTCACCCTCCTACTGGTTCTTCCCTGTGATTTTCAGGATGGTTCTGATGTTATAGCCCCAAGCCTTAACTTAATGAACCCCTCTCTATTCTATTCTTTCCTGGAGAAACATTCATCCCACTGGCAACACAACATCCATGACTTTTTATGGCACTACAATGTCAGAGATAGGATGGCCTGGCAGAAGGCAACGAGAGAGAATTCAGAACCAAATTGGAATCTCAAACATTACCCATCTCCAGGCAGAGGGAATCCAAGCACTCAGATCATCTCAAGGAAGCCTGCTCAGACCTCTTGAGCACTACCACATGGCTGTATCTCAGCTCTTAGGTCTGCCAAGAAGCAAGCCAATAAGGGGTTCTTTCTTACCATCATGAATAAACACATTCTTTCCTTTATCAGTAAATACCGTGGATCCCCACACCAATACCTGCCTCCATTCTGCAAAGAGGAGGGAATCTGAAGCAACTCTGGGCCAGGTCAATTCACAACTCCATTCTCAAACCCTAAAATTACATTGTTACAACACAAAGGACAAGCAGACCTTCAAGGCGAAGACCACACTCAAGGCAGAGTCTGTAGGGCCATCCAAGCAGACAGGCTACAAACCCATCTCCACAGGAGACTCTACAGGGAGACCAATGAGGACTTAACCTAGGAGCAAGGGTGAGGAAAAACTATACCCCATCCTCTGCCTTCTTGTCCCCACTCCCAACCCCACGACATCATGGAGCCCCAATATCATTGTGTGGAGAGCTCATTGCATATCTACCCAGGCAGCCATCCAAAAGACAGCCAAAGTCCTGAGCTTTAGTTCTAATCCACTGCGGCTCAGCATGCCACATAAGGAGAAATCACAACTAATCCATATGCAACTACCGTGGCTCGCCGCCCTCATGACAAAACAAGAGAGGCTGCACAAACACCAGGTTTATCTGAACTATTACTTGGAAGACAGAAAAATACCTAATCTTTCGTTTTTTTAAAATTTATTTTTCTAAAACACACCTGTACTGTACTCCCTAAATCTGTAGTCTTTTGGAGAGTCACAGACTCCCCCCAGATCTGCTGAATAGGAAAGCACTTTTTTCCCCCAGAACAATGCCCCTAATTTAAGGGCTGTTTCTCCAGAATTACAATTCTTCCAGTCCCCGCCAATAATCTCATGGTGAAGAATCCCTGTCCGAAGTTCTCTCAGTGACTCATCTGGGTTTGGGCTGAAAGACGTATATACAGGAGCATGGCTGCTGTTTAAACAAATTATGAGAGGGATGTTTGGGGGAGGCAGCAACACGAGAGCTGGCAAAACAGCAGGGACACTAGGTCACTGAAAATGATGTAAATAGGGTATCACCACTGTGGCTTTCCGCCTCCAAGTTGCTACTCTGCCTGGCTATGAAGAGGGCAGGAAATAGGCAGGGGACAGTAGTACAGCTGCCTCTACACACACCCGCCCACAACCTGAACACTGAGAAGCACTGATGTGTGGGAAGCACGGTATGGCAAACAGCCCGGTCAGCCAGCAATGTCATGAGCACATGTGCTATGAGTCCAGCTGGGACAGCAGGAAATTGAGGAGCCTCCAGAGCTTAGGAGGCAGCATGAAAAACAGACCAGAGGGCTGGGAAATCAGGACAGGCTGCTTCTGGTTCTGGTTTTGCTGCTGCCAAGCTGAGCAAGTCTCAGGGCTCCCATTTCCTCCCCTGTAAACAATGGCAGGGTGGGACCAGATTCCAGCTACTTCTCTTCAGATCTAAGACCTTGTGATTCCACAGACAGATAATACACTCCAGGGTCCCATTCCAGGACCACAGCCTCCTACCTCTGCAGCTCACTCGTCTCCCTGCTTTCATGTAGACCTACTCTTCTCTTTGGGTACACTGAAATTAAAAAATCAAAACAGTAGTACAGGCCTGGTGTGGTGGCTCAGGTCCATAATCTCAGCACTTTGGGAGGCTGAGGAGAGCGGATCACTTAAGGTCAGGAGTTAAGAGACCAGCCTGGCCAACACAGTGAAACTTGGTCTCTACTAAAAATACAAACAAATTAGCTGGGCATGGTGGTGTGCCCTGTAATCCCGGCTACTCAGGAGGCTGAGGTAGGAGAATCACTTGAACCCAAGAGACCGGAGGCTGCAGAGAGCAGAGATTGCACCACTGCACTCCAGCCTGGCCAACAGACTGAGACTCTGTCTCAAAAAAAAATAAAAATAAAAATAAAAAAAAATAAAACAGTACTACCAAACAGTAGAAAATGTTTACAATTTAAAAAAAAAAAGTATCTTTGGCACCCTTCCTTAGTCCCCTCAGTAAAGAGATAAACATCACTGGTAGTTTTCTACCCCTGTAGTACCTTGTAGTGTAATTTTGCCTTAGCCTTATTCATCACAGACAGGTCATCTCCGGACATGGAATTCTCAGAACAAGGACACTGCTACCACCAAAGTCCTACTGTTGAACCTTCTCCAGACTCCAGTACTATGACCCCTCTATTTCCCTTCTGTTCTCAGTCCTCTCTCATCCTTGCTTCCTTCCCTGCTGGCCTATGTGTAGTGATCCATCACCTCAAACACAATCTAGCCAATACTCTCAGCGATCTGCCTCTTTTCTGCTGTCACAACCAATGGGCAAAACTTTCAACCCTGGATCAATCTAACATCTGCCGGCTGTGCCCCGACCCTGGCTACTGTACCCTACTGGAGGGAAGGGAGAAAAGTCACAAAAGAGCAGGATTGGACCACTGCAAAAATCATGGTCTCTATCTTGGCTGGGCCTGTGATGCTACCCTGAAAATCTTCTATCTCCACCTTTGCTTCATTCTATTTTCTACACCTTCCTCAAGTCTACTTGATCACCACCTCCCTTATGCTCAGCAGACAATCAGAAGAGAACTTTCAACTATCCCTACCCTCTTCCCCTCTCCCTGCTGACAAAAATATCTGCAACACACACACCCGCCTGTACCCTTTCCCAGACCTTCACCTTGATGGAAGGGGTTTCCTTTTCCCTGTGCTCTGGAGCTCTTCTCAGTCTCCTCTCGTATAAATTATTTCCCCTTTTCCCAAAGCCTTCAGATTATTTCTTTCAACTCTCATCAGCATTAAAATGTTTGCAATCTTCCTGGTCTCAACTGCATGTCACTTCAAACACTCACTGTTTCTTTTGCCTTCCTGCCACAAAGACACTCTAGAGGAAATGTAGCCTAGGCAGCTAAGGACCTGAACTCCAAAGGAAGACAGATCTGGATCCAAATCTTGGTTCTAACACTTTCTAGCTGCAGGCCTTCCATAGGCAAGTTATTTACCCTCTCTAAGCTGCAGTTTCCTCAACTGTAAAATGGGGGTCATAATACCTATATAACTGGGCTGCTGGGAAGGTTAAATGAGTTAACACATGTAAAGTGCTTAGCTCAGGGCCTGGCACATGGTAAGTGCTCATGATGTTGGTTATGCTTAGTATTCTCTTCGTAGCTGCTTCCTTACAACCTATCTATTCCTCAATCCACTATAATCTGGCTTCCTTCACCACCACTTCTCTCAAAATGGCTTCACCAAAGTCCTGTGGTTCTGTAACCAAATTCAAGGGACTCTTTTCAATGCATTCATTCATTCGACAGTAATTTACTGAATGCTTACTATGTGCCAGGGGACACATAGTAAGTGCTGGGGATATAGCAGTGGTCAAAACAGACAAAAATCCCTGCTGTCAGAGAGCTCATAGAAACCACTCACTCCTTCTGGGACCTCTTGACAGCATCGGACATCCCTGACCTTCTTGAAACTAAACTCCCTTAGCTTAGGGGACAGTGCTCTCTTGGTTTTCCTTCTAACTCCTTGAATA